AACCGCCACCCCTGCATCTTGCAAATCGTTGGTGGTGGCCTCATCCCTGCAGTCCCTCCAGGAATGCAGTGTGGCTTTTGCTTTACCATTTCTCTAGGTAGAGGCAGTTCTACTGGCTTTCACTTGGCCTTTCCCACCATAATAGCTCTCATTCCACTGGTCCGGGAAACAATGAATTGATTCTTCCTGTTGGTTGGAAATATACAAAGCATATCTGAGGAAGACAATGTAATATTCCTCCTAAGGAATGCAAATGTACACTTGCATGGAAAGAAAAATATAAAAACTTGAATACGAAGCCTCAGCAGCATTGTGTTAATAATTCTTAAGTTCATATACACGCTTTTACAGCCTAGAAATTTACTTTGAGAAAGTTCTCACCAATCCCCTTCTCCTTTTTTTGTTGGAAAATAGCTCCAAGTTTCCTGTCTTCTAACACTGTTTCCATGGAAACCTGAGAACTAGGAAATGTCATCTGTGTTATCAGAAAACAGGCTCCGATTGATAATACTTGGGGACAGGAATAGTTTTGGGGTTTTTGAGTCTTGTACTTTGTATATCAGCGTCCCACTTGCTGGGTCCTGGGCTTTGTTCAAGTTCTCCTTTGATAAGGACCCCTGTGGAATTGAGTCCACATCTAGACGACAGCCTCACTGACACACAGGTTTCGTTTCCTTGTTACAAAGGTGTCACCTGTGGGAGATGCAGTACAGACCTAGACGGCTGCAAGGACACCTGGTGCTGTCTTTCATGACATGCTGTACTTTCTGCCCTTATTCTTTCAGCACATCTGAGATTACTTTTGCCAGAACACTCTATTAGATTCCTATTAGTATGAATGTCTGAACTAAAGACCGCTACTAATCTTCAAGTAGAGTGCGCAATCCAGATACATACAGCTTTTATTTTAGAGTCATACAAGTTCATTCTAAAGTTTCTAGGGATAGGTATCAATAGCCAGGAAAGTTCTAAAAGCAAAGAAAAAATTACATGGTGGCTGGTCACACTGTATATCACATCTAAGAAGCCTTTACAATTATACAATTGATGCTTACATAAGAATGAACAGGTAGAAAGTGGATTAGAAGAGAAAGTTTAAAAAGAGACACATGCCCAAAGAAATTGTTGGGTGATTGAAGTTTCATCTCAAATCACTAGGAAAAAGGCAATGTTTTTAAGAGATACTGTTGGGACAACTGGAGAGTCATTTAAAAAATAAAAGAATTTAAAATATATACTTACCTCCACATCATTTTTAATTTTAGAGATATCCTAGTAAGAAAAAACCCCACACATTCAGTACAAAAACAGTGGATGTGTTTGTTAAGATTAGGACACGAAAATGTATGATTCAGAATTCAAGGAAATAAAAAAATGATTGATATTTTTTTTAATTTTTTGTTTATTGCAGTAACATTGGTTTATAACATTGTAAAAATTTCAGGTGTACATCATTGTACTTCTATTTCTGCATAGATTACATCATGTTCACCACCATAATACGAATTACAACCCATCACCACACACATGTACCGAATTATCCCTTTCACCCTCCTCCCTCCCCCCTTCCCCTCTGGTAACCACCAATCCAATCTCTGTCCCTATGTGTTTGTTCATTGTTGTTATTATCTACTACTTAATGAAGGAAATCATACGGTATTTGACCTTCTCCCTCTGACTTATTTCACTTTGCATTATACCCTCAATGTCCATCCATGTTGTCACAAATGGCTGGATTTCATCGTTTCTTATGGCTGAGTAGTATTCCATTGTGAATATATACCACATCTTCTTTATCCATTCGTCCCTTGATGGGCACTTAGGTTGCTTCCAAGTCTAGGCTATTGTGAATAACACTGCAATGAACACAGGGGTGCATGTACCTTTGCAAATTGGTGTTTTCAAGTTCTTTGGATAAATACCCAACAGTGGAATAGCTGGATCATATGGTAGTTCTATCCTTGATTTTTTGAGGAATCTCCATACTGATTGATATTTATAAGTGCATAAAATTCAAAACTTTCTGCCTAGAAAATTAACATGAACTCAAAAGTCAAATAACAATTTGGAAAATATGTCTAATTCATATCATACAAAAGAGAGCTGTAAAGTGATAATTTCATTATTTCTAAAGAATAATAATAGGAGAAGAGGCTAGTGTCTTAATCAGAAAATTAAGAGGAAATAAACAAATTACCCTTAGATATCTTAAATGAAAATAAGCACTTTCATAATAATAAAATACACATGAAAACTACACAGGGGTACCATTTATTATCTGCCAAGCTGGAAATATATCGAAAAGTTTGACAACAGCCTCAATTGGCAAGGCCAAGGAAAAGAGGCTCTCTAGAACACTACAGAATAACCTACAACACTCCCATGAAAAAGAATTTGGAAGATCTAAGAAATTTACAAATATATTTGCTTGATGATCCATTCACTTCACTTCCAGCAGTGTATCCTGACAACAGGTCCACACAAGTGTATTCATCATATCATTCATTATCTAATAGTAAAATATCAGAATGATCTGAGTGACATACATTCTAAAATGAAAAGAGCAAGTTACAGATAAATGTGTAAAGCAATCTCCCTTCTCTAGAATAAACAGAGATTAATGAACCCTGGAGGGATGTCAGAAACTGATAAAATTATAACTTCATCAAATGAGGGAAGGGGTGTGATGGAAGTAAGACTACTCTGCATAGACCCGTCTGGTATCATTTTGATTTTTAAAACATGTAGGTCTATTTCACATTCAAAAAAAAGATTAAATGAAAAGAGGGAGAAGAATAAAATTTTAAAATTGAAAAAAATACTATCGCAAATAAATGTAAAACTCTCTTAATTTGGTAAGTGAGCCAAACAGAGAAAAGAATTATTTCAAATCTTCTTTGAAGAGGGTACTTACACTCAGAGTCAAACAGCCTGGGACAAAATAAATGCAAAGACATTTGAACCTTGATTCACTGGTTTAACTGCTAATAGTAATGTTTGCATTACACCTTCGATGTTAATTTCATGAATATTGAAAAATAAGTATACATGAGTAAAGAGAAAAGAGAGAAAATGTGTTAAAGTGTTTTTTTCACTTTGTATTATTAAACTTAAATTGTAAAATCCAATAGGAACTGATGAATTGTGAATTTCATTTCTATTTCAAAGATCTGACAACCAAAAGACTCTGGAAGTAAAGACATGTCAACACTATTGAATACTCCCATCTAGCAGCAATAGCACAATTCTTGGGTTGTAAACACTATTGCCCAGCAAAAAGAATCAGGTCTTCTTGGAAAGACATGATCATGGGTGTTGGGCAGGGGAAGTACACAGTGAGCCTGGAACGTCGTATTGTGCTAAAAAGAAGAGAAATGCTCAAAGACTAATGGGGACACAACAAAAGCAATCAGGAGCCAGTTTCAAAATGTATCCACTTGCCAAATGTGGGATAATATGAACTTGAAATAGAATAATGATCACAATTGATTGTGACAAATTGAATAAGCAAAAATTCATGTTCCATGCTGACACACACAACTTTTTTAAAAATGAAGGAAAAACATATTATAGCCATCATGGAAGGTCACTATTACATCAAATCCTTACTCCAAAAAATTGGAAATTAAAGGGCCAAAGTAGAAATTTACCAAATCTTTTAGGTGAAAGTTTCACTTAAACAGAGTAGGTAAATTAACACTCATTTTTACGCAAAAATGACAATAAGTGCAGAAAAATGATAGAATTGATCTTAAAAATCCCTATTTTGCAGACAATGATGAAATAATTGATTTCATAATAGGCCATAACAGTGTCGTAAATAGATTCAATAATCATTATCTAAAAGATGTTGGAGAAATAATATATATACACAAATATTAATATCAACAGCAAACATAACTTGCCAATTGTAACAATGTTCCTTTAAATGTGAGAAAATTGGCTGTCACTAGTGATTCAGAGCTATATAAATTGCCTCCACAGGTGACAGCTAGGTCTCTCATTCTAAGATTGTCACTGGATTTAATGCACTACAAAGGAACAAGATATCACCTTAAAATATTTTTACCGTAACTGTTTATATCTTTATTTGTGTCTTAAAGTTTTCATATTTTTGTAGAAACTAAAAATGTTATAGTCAACCAATTTTAACTAATTATGCTATTTGAAATGTAGGTACATAAAAATCACATTTCAGACTCTTGTGGTTGAGTAATTCCAAAACTCTCTATACCAGCAAACTCACGAAAAAGTTGTTAGATCTGAAGTTCATTACCAAAGAAATCTTTATAGTTCTCCACATGTATTGTCTGACTTTTTATATATCTGTATTTTAAATACTTTTGTGGTTCAAAAATGATGTACACTAAAGATAGAAAAATTGGAGAATTCAACTAAGTATAAAGAATTTAACACCAACTCTCACACCTATTATCTCTAAATTGAAGTCCAGTAATGGTAAATATTTTATTATACTTCCTGCCAATCTTTGTTCTATAAACATTTGTTCAGTGCTCAAAGCATAGTGTGTGAATGCGTGTGTGTGTTTATACTTGATATTGAAATTTTCATCACATTTCCTGTCAATGTTATGCTAGCTATGCACACAATTAGATTCTATTTCCCTCTTTATGATTTGTTTGACTTATGATGTGTGCTAGATAGATGTTTTATAGAAGACCATGTATTTCATCATTTTTTGGTATATTTGTCTATTGATAAATAAACAAAAGTAAGTAATAACTACTTACATCTTATTACTAAAGTGGGTATGACAGAGTTTGGTTTTAACGTACTAGTGAAGAAGTGATATTATTTTGAAGGTGGAGAGAAGCTTTTTTTTTTTTTTTTTCCTCTGAAATAGAGAGTCTCAGAAAGCGTCAGAAGTTATGGAGAAGCTCTGGGAAAGTTGGGAGAAGGATGGATGGAAGCAGGCACTGAGGTGATGGCATCTAGATTCTGGCCATAGGAATTTGATGAACAGGACACACAGCATTTTCGTTTGCCAAGTTTTAATGAGGTGCTTGTAGAAGTGATTCATTGATCTCTCACATTATAATCACATCGTCCACATAATATTTAACACACATTCAGATTTAAGAGTAAAAATGAGTTAAACAATACTTGAAGAAATAAACTGAGAAGAATTGGGTTAATAATGAAAAATTCTGAATAAATGTACATATGTGAGTTTTATGATTGCATTTTAACCATCGCTCTATCCACAGGTGGGATACAACAATTTCCTTTCCTGACAGGTTGCTCGAAATGTTTTGGGCGGTGTCTTTTTACGATATCCACGTTTACACATAAATTCAACAGTATCCTCTGCTTTAGAGTAACTTTTTTTCTCATATTTCCATCATAATTGTATCATGTTTTACATGATTTCTTCTGATCAATTACTCATGCATCTGAAGGTAAAAAGAATGAACATAAAACATCAGGGATTATACAAATATTTTCCATAAAATTTCAGACTCAAGAAGAACCTTCTACTCTGGTCCAGGACTTTATTCTTAAAACCTTTTCCAAACCAACACATAGAAAATCCATGATGTAGATTTAAATCACTTTAAATGATTAATGATGTAAAAATGAGGTACTGTGTTTAATGTGTGAAAATTAAAGATTATAATCAAAGATTCATTATGTCAATTACCATATGAAGAGCTTTCACTAAAAAAATCTTTTGTTGCTCTTGTTGCTTAAACAATAATTTTTCAAACTTCATTTCCTCACATATTAATATTTGGCACCAAGCATTGACCAGAATGGTTGGCTGTTAATCCATGAAAATTCTACTATAAACAGCACAACACCATACGCGTTATAGTGATTTTCCCAGGATCCATGAAACTATTAAACTATTTACCTAAGCATTTTCATGCTCCCTAACATCTACGCTACTAACCACTTGTTCAATATGCCCCTTCATTCTTGTCCTGTTCATCATGAGGAGTAAAATAGACCTGAACAGAAATTTTATCTGGTATTTACATAGTAACCCAAAGATTTTGTCCATATTCATTTCACAGTAGAAGTTAAAGGATGCTGATTGATTTGTGTATGTAGATTGTAGTTTCCTGTTTCAAGATAAAGTAGAATGGATATAAAGAAAGACCTACATCTTGTTCATCTACACAAAGCACAGGTCAGTATTAGCTTATTTGAAAGAATGTCACAAAGCAAGTTATGAACTACTGACCCACACAGCGTGGTATTGACTCCCATCTTCCATCTTTGCACACAATTTCTTCCACTCCTTGAATTAGGTATTTTTCTTGACAGAGAACAGATATTTTTTCTCCATCTCGATAATTCACTGTTGTTGTCATATCTTGAGCATTGGGAATCTGAGGTGGAGGTGGGCATGATTGTACTTCTAAAAATATTAAAATTAGATTTCTTGATTAAAAATCGTAAGTTAAAAATATTAAAAGGGTAATTCAGTAAATAGAAAACTTAATAATAATGTACCATATATAATAAAATTCTAACGTTATGTACTATGTTTCAATATGTTACGCTTTTCAGCTTGTTAATCTATCACGTTGGGTTTATATCCTCATGGTCTTCCTTGGACTTTCTTCCTTTTATGCTTTCTGTGATCAACCTTGCATAATTTAGGTAAAACCTATGTTGATTATTTCTAACCATTAGGACATTAGAGCTGAATAACTCATTCAATACCAGGCACTAAATAAAGACTGATATCAGGATCTTTTTTTTCTTTTTCATTTTTTTTTAATTGAGGTAACATTGCTTTATAACATTATATAAATTTCAGGCATACATCATTATATTTCAGTTTCTGTATAGACTACATCATCAAGATCTTTCTACAGATAGCCATGATCAAATGTACTGGGATTGGATTAAAACCCTCACAAGATATTCTACTAATGGAAGCTGATTAGTCAGACGAAGAATTATATTTAGTTAATGATCAATTAATTTGCTAGAGCTTCTTGGCCAAAGTAAGAATTAGATATGTTCACTAGTGGTTTATAGTGTGTTATTCAAAGTTCAAAACTCCCCTGGAGGTTCTGTTTACCAGCTTGCCTACACTGTTAAGGGATATAGATGGATGAAATGCTCCCAGATGAACAGATTAGACAGCCTGGCTTTAGTTACATGACCAGCAGTGTATAAAAGATCCCTCTGTAAAGTTGTGTCTGAGAGCCCATAAAACAAGGTACATCAGATATATCTTGTCAGTTCATAATCTGAAGACAAAGCATGTCCTGTTCCACTGAGGGGAGACTCTGGAAGACCATCCCTGGAAGCTTTAGAGCCTCTCTGTGATTGCTTGCTTTTACTTTCTCTTGTCATACTGTGTCTTTATTTCGTTAAAGAGAATCAAATTTGAACATGGTGAAAAAACTGAAGAAAGAGTGAAATACTGATGAAATAATAACAAAGTTTCATACTGTATCTTTATTTCATACTGCATCTTTTTTCATTATGTGAATATACACTGGGAAGTCTTGTAAATCTTTTCAATTGTCCAACATTTTCTATTCAATTCAGGCAAATATTTCACTGAATATACTTCATTTATGTTTATTAATATTGTTCAGATTTTCTGTTTCTAAGTCAATAGGAGTTTTTTATATTCCATCAAAAATAATTTTTCATGTTTCTGTTTTAAATACCTTGGCATATTTTTCTACGTATTCTCAAACTTATTTTCTTCTGTGTCTGATCTTTAACCACCTTTGTCCTAAGAATCTTAATTTGAATTTCTTCTTGGTAAGTCTTGCCAGAGGTTGGTTTATATCCTAAATTTTCCTAAAAGCTGAATTTTATCCTGCAAATCAGCTGTTTATGCATTTTTAAGCTTCTTATAATAATAATTGATGCTTTAATTATTCTTTCCTTATGTTCTTCGGGTGTATTATCTTTCCTAGCTTCAGGATTGTAATACCCATTGCTTTTATTTTGCTCTTTCCTTTATAATGCATGTTTTAAAGCTATAAATATCTTTGCCTTTGCTGTATCCCATAGATTTCGATGTGTACTGCTACCACTGTCATTTTATTTAAGCATTTTCTGTTGGTTAATCACTAATAAGGGTTTTCTTTCCACCCAAATTTGTAAAATGGGTGAATAAGGTGTGTAGCTAGTTCTCTTATTATTTTATTTTTGTTTTTAATTTAGAGAGAATGGTTTGAGGACACTGATTACTTAAAATCAGTTGGGAATTCCTTTCTCACATGGAAATGATCAATTGTTTTAAATTAACCAACTATGTTAAATTAAGCCAATATAGACTTCAAGACATGAGTATTACAAATATAATCAAGAAATACTTTATCATTATAAAAATGATAATTCACAAGAACAAATTTATCATAAATGTGTATGTACCTAAAAACACACTAAGTACAGGAAGCAAAGATGGACAAAACCAAAGGAAGAAATAGACAAATCCACAATCTTAGTTAGCAGTACTGATACCCTACTTACTCTGACTGGTAGAATAAGGAGATAAAAAATTTTAAGCAGGCATAGACAAATTTGAAGAACACCATAAACTACTTTAACCTGATCCAACAACTAGAGTATGCCTATGCTGTTATATGAAAGTAAAACCATCAGGAAGATAGAAAACGAGCTGTGCAATAAAAAAAAGCAGGATTAAATCTCAAAATATTGAAATTTTACAGAGTACGTTCTGTGACAACAAAATTAGATTAGAAATCAATAAGAATAAATTATCTATGCAAACATCCACTATACTCACTAAATTATATATGTGCAGTTCTTTACACAACAATCATACCACATAAAGCTCTCAAAAGAGAATAAATTATTTAGAAAAGCATGAATATTTGGAAATTAAATGACAAACTTTTAAATAACTGACAGGTCAAAGAAGAAATCACAAAGAATTGTAGAAAATATTTCACATAGAATTAAATAAAAATAAAATGAATATAAAATTTTTTGACACACAGCTAAAGCAGTATTTAGAAGCAAAAATGTATTTTTAAATGTTTATATTTAAAAAGTAGGATGGTTTAAATCTATGTTTTCATTTTCTACTTAAGAAATGCGAAAAAGAGTAAAATTAAAATCAAGCTAATACGAAGGAAGGCAACAATAATTCCACGAAAGACAGAAAATAGAGAAAATTGAGAAAGACAAAGAGAAAAGAGAAAATTAACAAAGCGAAAAACAGTGAATGTTAATAAAGCTAAAAATTAAAAAAGAGGGAAAATTAAGAGTGTTAAAATCAGTTATTTGAAAACATTAATTAGAAAACCCTAGGAAGGATGATCAAGATGAAAGAGAGGAACAAATGTCAATATCAAGAATGAAAGAAGTGACACCACCAGTGATGCTATAGAAGTGAAAGGAAAACAGAATATTAAGTGACTAATAGAAACAACTGTATACCCATCAATTTGATAAATTGGATAAAATCGAGATGATTCTTAAAAAATACAACTTCCTTGCGTTTTGACAGAGATAACATAGAAAATCTGAATAGCCCACTACCTACTAAAGAAATTGAATTCTTCATCAGGAAAGTCTTCCATAAAAGCAAACTAGGCATCAGATGACGTCCCAGGTGAATTCTATCAATCATTTAAGGGAAAAAATAATACAATAATAATCTTACACCTGTACTTTCAGAAAACAGAGGAGCAGAGAACACTTCTCAATTTGTTTTATGATGCCACAACATCCCTAAGAGCAACCTGGCAGAGACATTACAAGAAAAAGTAATGACAGATTAGTATCCCCCGTGAACATAAATGCAAGAACCCTTAAAAATATATCAGCAAGTCAAGTAAAAAAAATATAGAGAGAATAATATATCACCACCAAGTAGAGTTGACTCTAGGAATGAGAGACTTGTTCCACATTCAAAAATTTACATCTCTAATTTCCCATATTAACAGAATTCAGAAAGTCATATCATCATATGCATAAAAAGCATTTAAAAACATTCAACGTTGGTTGATGGTACAGCTTCTCACTCAGCTAAGTAGGAATAGAAGCAAATTGCCCGAATCTGATAAAGGGCAACTACAAAAATCCTAAAGTGACTTTATAATTGTGGTAAAATGTTGACTATCCTCTCCCAGTGGTCAGGAATAAGACAAAGATGTTTGTTCTCATCTCTTCCCTTCAACAGTTTACTGGAGATCTTACTCAGTGCAACAGGACAAGAAAATAAACAAAAAATCAAAATTAAAATGGACCAGCTGAAATACAATCTTGCATTTGCTATGATATAGTTACTTACAAAATAATACCTAGAATGAATACGGCAACTTAGTACAGTTTCAGAGGATAAAATAAATATACAAAAATCTAGTGCATTTCTTTACACTTGCAGCAAAAAAATGGAAAATGCAAGTTTGAAAAATAGCATTTGTAATACTAAAAACACAAAATAGCAATAAATTTTTTAGAACTGTAAATCTACACTTACAACATTACTGGGAAAATAGAAGCAGAAATAAATAATTGTAGAGACATATCATATTGATAGATTGAACACTCAATATGGTTAAGATGTCAATTCTCCCTATTTTATCTTTCATTAGACAAGCCATCCCTTTCATTATACAAGCAGACATTTCATAGAACTTGATTAGTAGTCCCTGAAATTTCTATGTTAATGAAAAGACCAGAATAACTAAAACTATCTTGAAAAGGAAGAAAACAATTGGAGACTATATATATTAGACTTCAAGACTTACTAGTCACAAGGCACTGTGACAGGGCTAAGGAGAGATAAATGGTTAAATGGTCTGAAAAGCAAGTCCAGAAAAAAATCAACACTTCCATAGTCAATTGATTTTCATTTCAAAATTTTTTCCATACGTATTGCTAGAACAACTGGCTATCCTTATGTAATAAAGAACACCAACCCCTGTTTTACACCATCTTCAAAAATTAATGTAAGTTGGATAATATGCCCATATATAAATGCTAAAATTGTACAGCTTCTAGAAGAAAATGTAGAACATTTGTACTGTACTGACTGTAAATATCATTTCTTTTTTTTAAAGAACTAAAATTATGTTAAACTGTAGACAGTAGATTTGTTTTTATATTGGTATGATACTAGTTTCTGTATTTTCTAGGCTTGAGGAAATCAGTAAAAATATTAAGGAGAGTGAGTCAAGGTGCCCTACACATAGAGAAGAGAAATACAGATATGAGAAGTAGAAAACTGGAATGAACACTGTGCTATTAAATCAAAATTGGTGCTGTCAATATGACTCAGAGATTTCAAGATTA